AGATGGCCATTCACCTCTTACTACCAGCCAGCAGAATATTAGGGCCACCAAAATGAGTAGGCTACTGAGGGTATCTTTTCAGGAGTAGAATATATGTGGCCCCTTTATATCTTGATGCCAGAGTCAACATACCGCTGACATCACCTGCTTCTAGGGTGACTCAGTGTTCTCCCTCTCTCTGTGTCTCTGTCTCATATAATTCAGGGCTGTTGCAGTTCTTCTGATGTTTCCATGGCAACTTTCACAAGGATTTCATAGAACATAAGGTATTTGAGCAGGAAGGGCCCTTGGAGATCAACTCCTCCTCCACATTTCACAGAACAGGAAGTAGGTCCAGAGAGGCAATGCCAAATACATGGGGTCACACAGCAAGAAAGAGATACTGCCCTATGGCTTTTAGATAGCTGACAACTGTGTCCTGCAGCTGACTCCTCATGAAGTGCTCTGAGAACACAAGCTTTGGGGGCTTTGCCATTGTTTGCTAGAGGACCCCTGAAGCCTAGTCTAGCTTCCTGCTGCTTAATCAGAACCTGTTCCCTTCAGTGCCTGTCTTCAGGCACAGGAGCAGGCAGCATAGGATCTATCCTGTCCTCAGAAAGTTTCCAGATAGGCACAGAGGCCAAGAGCAAGCTTCTAGAGAACCACTGGAGGGCATCCAGGGTGCAGGAAGTAGGGGAAGGAGAAGCCAGGGAAGCAGGGCTCCAAGCAGAATCTGTAAGGTCAAGAAGATGTTGGCTCCTGCTTGCACTGCTCTCCAGCACAGGCCAGAATCTGGTGTGGGGGTAAAGCTAGAAGCCTAGGGAAAATGGAACCTCTGAGCAAGGCTGGACTAGGAACTCATGGCACATGCTACACCAGGGCAATGGGCTCAGACTCCCAGAAGGATCAGTTATCAGAAGCCAGACTAAGTGGCACACACCTTTAATCCCAGCATTTGGGAAGCAGAGGTAGGTGGATCTCTGAGTTTGAGGCCAGCCAGGCCTGTTACACAAAGAAACCCTGTTTCCCCCTCAAACAAAACAAAACAAAACAGTGTTAAACTAAAAAAGGTTACAGGAGCTGAGGGGCATGAGAGGACCAAAGGTTGGGATTGTAAGAGGATTCAAAGGCAAGGTTCCAAGGAGACCTAGGTGGCTCCATTCATTTGGAAACAATGATATTACACATATATTTTTTTTTAAAGCATAGAACCATCTTTGCATTCTAAGGTTGAGGACAGGACCACTCTCTTCCTGGGGCATATAGCCAGTCCTAACTTTCTGCCTTGGGGCTGATCAGCACTGCTCTTTCCAAGAGACTGGGGGACTCCAGGCCAGACTAAGGCCATTGCACCCTCCTGACCCTTTCTCACCAAACTGGTCCCTTCCCTCAAGTTTGCTCTGAGCTGCCATTAGTTATTTATTGCTATGTAACCAATGTCTCTCTAATACATAGGAAACTAAGGTTTTAAAAGGCTCATTTCGCTGGGTGGTGGTGGCACATGCCTTGGGAGGCAGAGGCAGGCCTGGTTTACAGAGCGAGTTCCAGGACAGGTTCCAAAGCTACAGAGAAATCCTGTCTCAACAAAACAAAGAAAACAAAAATGGGCTACATAGCAAAGTCCTATTCAACATATCATCATCCACTGAGCTGTGTCTATCAGCGATCCAGTTTATTCAATCAGTTTCTCTTCATTGACTGGATGGGTGTTTTCTAATGATGGCAGGCAGCCAGATTCTGGAAATCACTGTCTCAAGGTACAAGAAACCTGGGGTCACTTCTGTTTTATTGTTGCTATTGCCCAGACTCAAGGGCAGGAGACATAGACCCGCTCTATTACTGGCAAAAATACCAAAGAGTTAGCCATCTTCTTGTGTTCTTGTTTTGCATTTTGAGATAGGGTCTCAATATAGCCTTGGATGTTCTGGAATTCATTGAGATAGGGTCTCAATATAGCCTTGGATGTTCTGGAATTCACTATGTAGATCAGGCATCTCCCCCATACCCAACTCTTTATTTTTATTTTAATTATTTAATTAACTTTGAGACAGGGTTTTGCAGTAGGATTTCTTGGACTGCCAGCCCCCAAAATCATGACATGGAGACAATATTAATTATAAATGCTTGGCCTTGCTGAACGGTGGTGGCACATGCCTTTAATCCCAGGACTGGGAAAGCAGAGGCAGGTGGATCTCCAAGTTTGAAGCCAGCCTGGTCTACAGAGTGAGTTTCAGGACAGGCTTCAAAGCTACAGAGAAGTCCTGTCTTGAAAAACCAAAACAAGCAAACAAAACAAAATACATTTTTACATAGTTAAAGCAATATTCCACAACATAAATAAATGTAACACATCTTTGCCTAGTTAAACAAATATTCCACAACAGGGTTTCACTATGTAGCTCTGACAGGCCTAGAACTTGCTATATAGACCAGGTTCACCTTTAACTCACAGAGACCTGCCTACCTCTGCCTTATAAGTACTAGATTTAAAGGCATGCACCACCATGCCTAGTTTCTAACTTACATTTCTTTTGACAATTTAGTAACTACTCACTGAGGCCAGGAGCTGGCTGCCAGGGATATGGCAGTGACCAAGACAAGCTGCTTCCTGTGCCCAGAAAGCTTATATTCCAGGGTGAGAAACAGATGGGAACAGAAAGAGAGCCATGAGATACAGTGATCAAAGATGAGCAGAGCCATGGGGAGCAGAGAGCTGCAAAGTTTCTCAGGATTCAGCAGAGACCTGGGTTTTATGTAAAGGCTCCTCATTGTAAAGGCACGTCTGTACGTCTGTCTGCCCTCCACCTTTTCCATCTTCCCTGTTCCCTCTCTTTTCCTAGTTGCCTGCCCTAATTTTTTTTTTTTTTTTTTTTTTTTTTTTTTTTTTGGTTTTTGAGACAGGGTTTCTCTGTGGCTTCGAAGCCTGTCCTGGTCTCGAACTCACAGAGATCCGACTGCCTCTGCCTTCTGAGTGCTGGGATTAAAGGTGTGTGCCACTGCCCGGCTGCTTGACCCATTTTCATTACTCACATCCAAAATTCCTCACTCACAGACCCTGCCCCACAGCATCCAAACGTGAACTCCTTGTTTTTATCTGATTACTTTGGGTGCATGCACAAGTGTGCAGGTATACACTTACCACACCAAGTATATGGAGGTCAGAGGACAACTTGTGGGGATCCATTCCCCTTTCCACCATGTGGGGCCTGGGGATTGAACTCAAGTCCTCTGGCATGGCAGCAGATGCCTTTTAGCCACTGAGCCATCCCACAGGCCCTGACTCTTTGTTTTTATCCCACATACTGGACATATTCTAGGCAGCAGCTGGAAGTATGAGCTACTTCCTAGAGCAAGTAGGCACAGGCTGTTGAGGTTCCCAGCTGAGGTTGGCTTTGTAAGAGTGGGCTATCTGGTTCCCTCAGGGAATACAATAGTACTCCCACTCTAGGTCAGGACACACAGATCTTGAGACTGGCCTGAAAGAGGTAGGAGATCAGTGAAGGGAGCCAATGAAAGGAGACCTGAGGCTTTGCTGGGTTTGCTTTACAATAATAGGTCCCTGATGGGTAAAGCTGAACCATAGGACATGAAGCCAGTGTTCCCAAGAGCAGCCTTATTGCTGCCATGCACTAGCCTGGAGATCATGGACAGCAGCTCCCTGTTGCCTTTCTGAGCCTCAGTTTTCCCATCTGACCATTGGAAGCTGTTAGAGCAATACCTACCACACAGACTAGCACACCTAGCTCATGGCAGCAGGGCAGTGCAGGCCACAGCAAGGCCCTGTCTAGGAAATACTCTGGGTCCTTTCAGGCACTGAACCCCAGAGGCAGTGAATTATTCATGCTTTGTTCATTGCCAGTTTAGAAGGCTCAGGGGGCCTCCAAGAGGTCCAGTTTTGGTGACAGGAGGACAGCTAGGCCATCCCAGAGGAACACCAAGAAATATCCTGTCTCAAGGGCACCACCCTCCTGTACCCACTGTCCTCACCTCTGATCTCTGAAGCCTCATTCTCCAGACTGGCATGTCTTGGGTGAGAGGCTTCAGACAGAGCTCCTCTGGTCAGTGTAGATAGGGCAGCAGAGTCAGTTCCCGGAGGTGGGGTATACCAGGTCCTGGACCAGTTTGGGGTCTAGAGAATCAACACTGACACTTTTGCATGAGAAACTAAGATGGAAAGACTACAGACCAGTCACTTCTGGGGAAGAACCTCCTATCTACTAGGCTCTCAGGGCAGGGGTCTTGCAAGGGTTATCTCAGAGGGCCTGATGCTGGCTGTGATACCCACTTCCTTTCTTTCCTCAGATACTCATGCTTCAGCCTAGGTGGCGAAGTCTATGAGGAAAAGAAACCTCCTCACTCTGTCTTTGATCAGCTGAGCCCAGAGTGCTCAGGCATAGCAGGGATTGTTTGTGAAGCCTGAGTGTGTGAGCTTCCTGGATCTGCCTGACCTGTAGGGTACAACACTGAGAACAAGTGTCAGGTGGCTGGCATCTCTTGCTGAGAAGAAACAGAATCTCAGGCTGACTTCTCAGCCTTCTGCCCCAGCCCCTTCATCTCAGAACACACCCATGTCTCAGGTCTGGGGTCCAGTCTATTGAGCTTGGTTCCTAAGCTGGGACACTGAAGACTGGGGTAAGGAACAGTGCACCGAGAGGACACATGATCCTGGTGCTTCTTCACACTAGATGCAGACAGTTGGGGTCCTTGTTAACACAGAGCAGCTTTATTTAGGGTGAACACCTAGAGCCTTGCTGAGACCTCCTGACTCCGTCCCCTGAGCGGCGAGCTAATTTGCATGGCTCCGCCTCAGAGCGGTTATTGGCTGCGGCGGTGGGAGGCTGGGCCTGAGTGGCTGCGCTTCCAGGGAGGCGGGGGCGGGGCAGGAGCCGAGTGCTGGAGATGCTGCTTCTGCTGCTTCTGCCGCTGCTGCGGGACGAGTTCGGGTCCGAGTCTGGCTTGGCGGGCACCGGGCGTGGGACGTCCCAGGGCGCGGTAGCAGCAACGGGAGCACACTGAGAACCATGTCCAGGAAGAAGACCCCCAAGAGCAAGGGGGGGAGTGTGCCTGCTGCTTCTACGTTGCCCACTGCCGCCAATCGGTCCCGTCTGGCATGTCCCATGACTGCGCGTCCTGGACCAGAGGCGCTGCCCAACGGGACCCCGCAGTCGAGCCGGCCCTCGCTTGGTGGCACTGGAGACTTCTACGACGTTGCTTTCAAGGTGAGCTAGGCACCTCCACGCCATGGGAGTGCAGCAGGTGGCTTTGGATACTAGACTGTTGGGAGGGCCTCTGGGGAAGAGTGCAGAGCTGTGCGGACCTTTGCAGCTGAACTGGCCAGAGCAGCACCTCGCAGCTAGCCAGTCAGCACCTTAGATTGTCGCGCGCGCGTGCACGCACGCGCGTGTACACATTGACACAAACATATATTCACACACACAACTATTAGGCTTGGGTTTGGGGTATTCAACAGCTGGCCGTGCCTGCCCCTACTCCATCTACTGTAAGACCAAGCAAGGGGTTCTGAAAGCTGTCCTACCACTGCTCCATTCACACATTTCCCATCCATATGCTGCTTCCCCTCTCTCTCCCCCAGGGGCTGTAAGTCTCCTTTTTCTGGAAGGGTTGAGAAAGTGGCCACCCCCCCCCCCCAGACCAAAACCGAAGCTTGTGTGAATTTGACCTGTGAAAGCAGGGCCATCATTGGGTTTTGGAGCTTTTGGCAGCAGGGCTGTGGGGGGAGGGAGAGACTTTGCCAGTCTGCCCCTCAGGCCCACAGATGATCCCTAGCCCCTGTTCACTTACAAAGCTGTTTGGCAAACCTCTACTGAGCCTTGCTGCTGAGATTTGTGTCTTTGCTGGAACTGAAGAAGCCCCTGGCACTGAGTCCCCACAGGTCTCTGTAGGATGGATGTTCCAGCTGCATTTTCATGCTCTGCTCCCCATAGGCCCCAAATGCTGCCCTCCAAGATCAAGTATGATGTCTATGGAGGAGGGGTAGGTAAGATCTTGGATGGGGACAGCAGTCCCTCCCTCCCCATTGATTAAGGTGGCATTGTTGGAGGGAGAGGTGGCACAGGACTACCAGGGGTAGAGAAGCTGGGCACCCAAGCTATTGGGGACCATGTTTGCTGTATTTCCCCAGGCTATGCTGTACCTACAGGCCTGGAACATTCATTTCCTCTCCTGCCCCTCCCCCACAGCTCAAGGCAGACCAGACGCATCTCTAGGTGGGCAAGGCCCTCAGCCCCAAACCTAATTCTTGACCCTCATATCTATTCTAGGTCATGCTGGTGGGGGATTCTGGTGTGGGGAAGACCTGTCTGCTTGTGCGCTTCAAGGATGGGGCTTTCCTGGCTGGTACCTTCATTTCCACTGTGGGCATCGACTTCCGGGTGAGAGTGGAGGCTGATGTCCTGAGCTCTGACTGGGTCCAGCTGTACTATGATTCTTACACGTAGTCCTCCCAGTACCCTGGCCGGCTGTTTCTCCATCTCCTAATGAGTCCATAGGTCCAGGGGATGAGAGCTTAGTTACCAAACCAGCTGCCTCCTAACAGCTGAGGGTCCTAGGGAAGCCTCCCAACACCAAAGGTGCTGTCATTCAGCTGCAGCAGAGTTCTGTTCTTACCATGGGCTGATGCTATGCTTAGCTATACCTGAGCCCTAGGGTAGTGACAGTGAGAGGAAACTCAAGGCCTGTTCTTTAGGCCAATGTTGCTCTCCCACCAAAGAGGGGACCCAAGGCTATGGGAGGTACTGGGAATTTTCTAGTTACTATAATGCAGTGCAGCTTGGAAGAGACCTCCTTAGATCCCAGGCAGGGTCCTAGGATCTCCAGCATCAGAGCCCTCCCAACCCCTTACCCAGTCTGAATCTCATGTGCTGAGGTGCCGGTGTGTTCTTGGCAAATCCTGAATTTGCATTTTTCTCACCCTTTAATTAGATCCAGTTAGCAGGAGGTTGGGAGGAAGGCCCACTCTGGGGACAGTAAAGGGGGTTGGGGGTCCTCTAGTGGGAAATTTTCTTTATTGAGGATTGCAGGTCTTCTCAAGCCCTCTAGGTCCTAGAGTCCAGAAAGAAGGCTGAAGTGCCAGTGAGTAGGACAAGCTTGAGCAGGTGTTTCTTGCCTATCCTGGTCTCCCTCCCCCACACTCCTGCCTCCTCTTAGCTCCTGGGAGGAAGATAGGGCTGTGTGGTTTGCACCCCTGTTCAGAGTGCAGGAAAGGCAAAATATCCTCCCTTGCCAGGCAGATGGTTGAGTCTGATTCCCTGGAGACCTAGAAGCACTGACAGCAGCTCTGGAAAAAGGGGGAGCTAGGCCTAGCCTGGGATGACAGGTGGGTGGGCATTCCAGCCTGATGTCTAATCTTCAAAGGGACAGGTCTAGACCTACAGACAGCAAATTTATGGCTATTACCTATGTACCAGCCATAGTTCTGAGCTCTGTGGGCACAGTAGAGTCAGACAGCCCCTTAGAAATGGGTGTCCTAGTGGTTGGCGGTGTGTGTGTGTGAAATTAGGATGTAGTTTTCAGTGTACATAGTAGCTCATTAAGTCAAAGTTGCCCTATCTATCCCCATCTCCAGGTGGGGAAACTGGGGCACAGTGTACCATTTGTACCATTGATGACTTCTAAGCTAGTTGAAGTCTTTAAGCAGAAACAGTACACTAGTAGTGCTACACTCTTGACAAGTGGGAACCTGTGTAGTAGGACCTGGTGTGCGGGGGTGGTAAGCAAGGCCCCAAAGTGGACACAGCTGGCCATTACCTAGTATCAGGGTAGCCATCTGAGGAAGAGCCCAGGCAGGGTCATCTGAAGAGGATGCCCCCAGGGTTGATGCTGGGAGCAGTACCAGGGGATACCATGCAGTTGCTAGGAGCATCTGATTTTAAGCATGTGACGTTTAGGCTGGTTTAAGTTCTCAGAGCAGAACTAGGAGGTACTGTAGAAATGGGGTAGGGATCTCCCAACTGCCCACCAGTGGGGGTTCAGTCATGGCTTGCATGACTTCCTCTCCTACTTCAACCTCAGGATCCCCCAGGCCACAGGATGGCAGGCATCCTTAATGTTGCTGGCTGGTTCTGTTTCAGAATAAAGTTCTGGATGTGGATGGCACGAAGGTGAAGCTGCAGGTGAGGTAACAGGAGTGCGGGTTTGGGGCTGGAGACACCAGGGAGAGGTTGGGCAGTATGACCAGTGCCTATTGCCACAGATCTGGGACACAGCTGGTCAGGAGCGGTTCCGAAGTGTCACCCATGCCTACTACCGGGATGCTCACGGTAAGCCCACAGATATGGAGACCAGTTCTCCACAGGAGTCTGGGTGACCTACTAGCATGGGGGAAGGGGGTGAGCACAAATGCCCTGCAGAGGGCGATGTGGTACCCTGTGACTTGTAAAGTCTAAACGTGGGTAGCTAAGGAGCCACTGGACCCCAGGGATGTCCTCATTACTTTCTGTATTCAGCACTGTTGCTACTCTATGACATCACCAACAAGGACTCCTTTGACAACATTCAGGTCAGTGGCCTTCTTGGTGGGGGAATGGGCCCAGACTGTCTAAATGGCAGGCATCAAGAACACTCATAGAACCTCTCTGAGCTCATGGTGGCCAAGTTGGGTATTCACTAATCCATCGGGCCTGAGTGGCAACTGGCTCCATTAACAGGATCACCAGGATAAGGTACCAGTGATGTGGGTACCATTCCAAACATGGGAGGGCTTCTAGGAAAAGGCACCCAAAGAGGTGGCAAGGACCAGCCTTGAAACTGGTCCCAGCTCTCCCCATACAGGCCTGGTTGACAGAGATCCAGGAATATGCCCAGCAGGACGTGGTGCTCATGCTGCTGGGGAATAAGGTGGGAATTTTAACCTGTTCTCTCCAGCCTGGCCCAATAGGGCAAGGCATGGACTGCCACTAACAAAATTTCTGTGCCTGAGCCAGGTAGACTCTACCCAAGAACGTGTGGTAAAAAGGGAAGACGGGGAGAAATTAGCCAAGGTGAGTCAATACAGGGTGGGCGATAAGGGTGGCTTTAAGGCTGTAACACTTGGGCTTGCCCCCATTGGGCCAGCACCCCCCTGGCAGCAGCTGTTTGCAGGAGTATGGGCTGCCTTTCATGGAAACGAGCGCAAAGACTGGCCTCAATGTGGACTTGGCTTTCACAGCCATAGCAAAGTAAGTCCTGACAGTCAACACAAACACTGCCCTTATGTTCCAGGCCATAAACCTCTAAGAGGTTGCACAGGCCACATGTGCTCTATTGTCATCCCTGCTCTTCAGGGAACTGAAGCAGCGATCCACGAAGGCTCCCAAGGAGCCACACTTCAGGCTGCACGACTATGTCAAGAGGGAGGGGCGAGGGGTCTCTTGCTGTCGACTCTGAACCTGGCTGATCTCAGTTCCACTCCTGAAGAAGCCCTGCCCTGCTGAGTTGTACCGGAAGTCTATAGGCTTGACCCAGTGGATACTCGTGTGCAAGGCTAAACGCTATCACCCCTTTGCCCCAGAGGCCACCACAGAAGTGGTATTATAGCATATAAACCATGCCATGATGGCACTTGTAGCAGAGGACGGCATCATAGAGCCCAGGTGGGACCCCACCCAGGGCTTGGTCATTACCGTCTAGTTAACCCCCAGAAGCCTGCTTCCAGCCCACTCACTGTGAGACTTAGATCACAGAAATGTGAGGGAACTACAAACAAGTCACCACCCAGCAGGTTGTCCCAGTTCTTCCCATGTTGTGTTATCAACCACAAACTTGAGTGGAAACCTGTCTTCAAAATTCCCCAATAAAGTTGTTTTCTGGAGTTTGTGTCATCTGTGGAAAATCACCTTCCAGGGCCAGCAGGATGGCTTAGTGGGGCTAAAGGGATTCACAAGCAAGCCAGGCCTGGTGTCTTCAGAATTCACCAGTGGAAGCAGAATCCTGCGGCTTATTCTGGCTTCCACAAGTACCAATACCCTCACCAAAACAGTCTCTCATGGAAGCTGGTTACCAAGACTAGAGTGCCCTGAAACCTATCACTGACACTGAACAGGCTAAAAGCTCACTCTAGAGCAGAGTTCTAAAAGTAGGAGGCTTTACTTTCATGAGTACCCCTTTACAGACCGCAGGAGTACAAACGAAGCCTTTTGCAGAACATGGAATAACGACATTTGAAAACAGAATTAAGATTATTTTTCCTTTATTCAGATACAGATGCCCAGCTTACCAGCAAATCCTGCCCGCCGTCGACCGGAGTCAAGGTCTGTAGCACACTCACCATGCCCTGAAAGTCAAACAGAAATCCTTTACTTTTGGTAACTTTTCATTCTCAGCCATCCAATTAAACGTAGAGTAAGTTCCCAAGCCTCAGTCTTGCAATGTAATCAGACTGCACATGCAGTTTTCATACGAGGTGTCAGAAATTATAGCAATTCATCACAGGCTTGGTGCTCCAAAGGAAAGCCAGGCCTGACTTACCTTACCCGCAAAAAAGGAGTCGTAAGTTGAAGGAAAACGTTAAACAAAAAGGACTAAAGCAGAGCCCAGACTTCCGCAGCACTCGAGGAAAGGCTGGCCTGCAATTGAGCGATCCTTCGAGTTACATTTGGCGACCATTTCCGGCAAAAAAACGTGCCTCACAGAGATAACAAAAAAAAGAGCAGAATACAATAGTCACTCCCAAAAGACCGGTCGCAACCGAAGCTCAATCGTTTATAGAACTGCTCCTTATGTGATTGGACAGTTTCTGAGGAAGTGCCCACCTTCTTTTGCTGCTGATAGGCTTCTCAAGCTATTATGAAGTTTCCACCAATCATACCGTACACTTTCTTTTGGAGGCGGTATCTTGGGTCGTTCGAAGATCCTCCCCTTTGTAGAGCCATTGGGTACGTGAGCGACGAGTGCATTTAGCCAATCAAATTCCGACCTGCAACATAGAGTGATTCTGAAGCCACCAATCCGGTCCTTTAGTGCCGAGGTCGCCGGAAGTCGTAGTTTAGGAAATTCAAAGTGGGAAGCAGCCGCCGGAGTTCCAGGAGTCCGTAAACTACAAGTCCCGACGTGCGTAGCGCCCGGGCCCTTCCGGCTCCTGTATCCTGTATCTTTGCGGGCCGCGGGCCGAGGGGGCAATATGATGCCGGAGGGTGTACTCGCTGCTCCCAGGCAGCCGCGGGCGGGTGAGTGTTTTCGCGTCGCACTGGATCTTGGGCTCGTTATTCCGTGCTGTGCGGCAGGGCCCGGGCTGGCCTGGGAGCGTCACGAGCGGTCGTGGGCCTAGACTGGGGGGGCGGGACTGAGACAGCTGGGGTCTCAGTGTCCGTAAGTCCGCTTGACTCTCCACAGACCCGTCTGTCACTCCTTTCCTTCACTCTCTTTCTCGTTCTTTTTGCTCTCCTGCTTTTACTGAACGCTACTTTTTTGTCAGAAAGTATCCTAGGCTCTGGAGAGTCCGCAGAGAGCAGGATTCCAAACTGATAAGCTCATCTGGTACGCGGTTTCGAGACAGAACATTCTGCCTCTAGGGTCCTGTGCATTGTAGGATGTTGAGCAGTATTTCTGGATTTGTTCCCTGGATGGTAGTAGTACCCACAGCCCTGTTGTACTACTACAAGTATGTCCCAAGATTTTAAGTGTATCCTTGTGGCAACTCACCCTCCAGAACTGTTATTCTTAAAAGGAGCGAGCGACTGACAAGAGTTAAAAATCATGAGGAACTGTGATAAATATTACCAAAAAAAAAAAAAAAACCTCACAAAACTGAATGCAAGTAAAGTGATCGTTGAGCGTTCTTAAATTGTTTAGTAGGGAGCGCTACAGTTAGCCAAAGATCTGATTGAGAAACAATCTTGAGACATTGCCTGAAGAGCCTTACAGGTAGAGGGAGCCAGAGGGATAAAGGCCCTGGGAGAATGAGCTTGGAGCAAGCTAGGGAGTTAGTTGTATAGATGAGCTAGGAGGCAGATCAGGGCAAAGTCTGAGAGCCTTCAGGTATGCATAATGATGAACTTTATAATTCAGGTGAGATGCAGGAAAGATCAAGGAATCTGAATCATTGCCTCTGACTCTCAACATAGCCAATTGTCCCAGCCTGGATATTTTGTAGAGGCCAAGATGAGGCTGAAGGCTAGAGATGTCTGCCACCTCAGTCTCATCTCCCCCCTTGAGCCCCTCCTCCATGCCCCTACAGGTTCATTCCTTTGTTCACTGCTGGCCTTCAGTCAGTAGCCACTCAGCCTTGTTCTTCAGTCTTCTTTGGGCCTTGCTATGCCCAGATACCTATTTGGGGGGATCTATGTGGCAAGAGCTGTTTCAGTCACAAAGATACTCCATGCATTCATGTTTCTCTGTGGAAACTCCGGTTCCAGTACTCTGAGGTTCCTGCATCTATTTGCCACGGTTCCTTCAGGAAGTGAGAACCACTATACGCAACCTGACTAAGGTGACCCCAGACCAGAAGGAATGGCCAAGAGTGGTGTCTAAATCCTAGAAGTTCCTTGCTGTAACTTCTTGTAGCTGTATATCAGAGTCTTTCTGGAAATGAATCAAAAGATCGGGGTCTTTAGTTCTGATCTGTGGCAGACAGAACAGAAATAAATGGGTTCTCTACCATTGCCCCTCAGACTAAATTGGGGGGGTCTCCCTACTCTCCGGCACCCAATGGGTATAAATCGTGGCTGAAACAATGCATGTTGTGGGAAATAGGAAGAAGGTATAGCTGAAGGAAGATCTAAGATGGGCAGAAACTATAGACAGCTTAGTCTCTGTAATGGGCTGCCTGGCTCAACCTAGCAAGGGACTAGCCCAAGGGTGCACTGGGGTTCCTAGTTTACTGATAGAAATGGAGGGAGCAGAAGGAACAAAGCTTGGGTCAGCCTTTTTGTGCCCATACACTCACTGGCTTGTCAGTGGGCTAGCCTTTTGGCCTTTTTCAGCCTCCACTCCAATCTCTCAGAGCTGCTGCTGCTGATGGTATATCTATAGCTTTTAGTTATATGTTATCTCTGACAGTTCCTTTCAGACTTGGATCCATTACAATGTTTTATAGTCAAGCAACTTACCCAGTCATTCCTTTCTTGAATGGTCAAAGCAGACTTTGAACCCAGGTCTGTCTGAGTTTGTGGCCCATGGTCATGATCACTCTGCCACAAGTACCATGCGTGTGAAGTACCAGCCTGTGTCCACCTGAAAAATTGATCAGCTGGTTGTATCTTACTGTGGACCAGGGTTCCTGGAAGTCTGGTCTTACAGCAAGTGGGTACCTAGCACTTTATCAGTTCTCTGATTGGCTTGTTCACAAGAAGCCCTTGGAGAGGAACCTACCAACCCCCATTTTTCAATAGACACCCTTAGGTCCCCAGAACACTAGACCTAGGGAAGAGTCATGTGGCTGAAGGAAAACAGACCACTAGGGAATAAGCTGATAATGTAGGACTTGATGCTTGAAAGTCCAGGTAGAAGAAGGTCACAGGGTAGAAACCAAGAAATAGGGCCATCCAATCTCAAGAGATCCAGGGGGATACCCATTGTTGGGGTTGGGGGTACAAGGAGGAACAGCCTTGAAAAAAGCCAAGTTTGAGGGGTGGAGCTGCTGTGAGTGCCAGAAGCAGGGGTATAGTATGGGATGGGGCTGAGCAGGTCTCTGTCCTCTCCCTTCTGTCTGGTCAGGGACGTTAGTTAGACTGTACCTCAGCTTCTATGGATGGGAAGAAGGAGGCACCAGGAAGTCAAAGCCACAAGAGAAACAGATAGTCAAACCTGTTACCACAGGTTTGACACCAGTTGAATTTGAGATAGCAGACATTCAAATGGAATGGCATATACCTCAGAAGCTCTGTCTGCTCTGGATCTGGCTAGTTCCCTCCTGTGGAAAACCCTTTGCACTTGTAGACAAAGCCTGATTGCTTTGCCACAGACGGGAAAGGAAGGACAGTGAGTTGAGACTAGTGCCACTGGCAGGAGGGTGTTGAAGTTCACTTCCTGAACTCTGAAGACAGTCAGCCTGGGCAGGGAAGGTGCAGAGGCTGGATTATGGGTATAAGGCGGCAGCAAAATGCTGGGAAGGAAAGGCCAGTTAAAGGCCCCATGCAGAGTTTGAGGCTGTGGGTATAGACAGCAGGAAAACTGAGGGTAGAAGTCGGGCTGGGTGCTGGGAGGGAAGTAAGCTTCTGCCCAGGGTTTTATATGGATTCTGGGAGGTCTTCACTGAGGCAAGTGAAGGCATTCTAGGGTCCCTGGCTGTCATACTTTGCCTGGTTGGGATGGAAAAGATGTGCTAAAATGACATTAAGGGA